TTTTTTTAAGTAGAGACGGGGTTTCACCATCTTGGCCACGGTGGTCTTGAACTCCTGAACTCGTGATCCACCTGTCTTGGCCTCCCAAAGTGCTGGGATTACAGGCGTGAGCCACCGGGCCTGTCCTGGACCTCCAGTTTTATGTGACTTAAGTAATGTCAATAGCCACGTGTGGCTTCGTGTCCCACAGCAAAGCACTGGGTGCTTCTCAGAGGCTGGCTGGCCTGGGAGGGGAGATCAGTGGCCTCCATGTGGGGGCAGTGAGGGCTCAGGTCCCCCACACAGGAGATGGGGACCTGAGGGTGAGATCCCTGGAGGTGGGGGATCAAGGGTATGGGGGTCTCAGCGACCCTGGCAGGGGCACAGTGCCCTCCCTTGCCTGCCAACCCCAAGTGACTGTGATTTGGTGCATGGGGCCCCATCCCTCGGACACCCTGGCACCAGGAGTCCCATCTTCGCCTCCCCAGCGGATGTCAGGCCCCGCATGGAACCCGACAGGTCCAGCCCTGCAGGTCACTCCCCCAGCACCCACCTGTCCCCATTTCGCAGACGGAGGCTGGGTACTGAGTCCTCCCCTCTCCAGCCTGGGCCGGACCCGCTGCTGAAGCAGAGACCCCAACCCAGACACCCAGCCAGGGGCCCGGGACGCTGCTTGTCCAGTGGGTTCAGCGAGGGGCAGGGGTGGGGCTGTGGGCCTGAGACACCCCCCTCCCCAGGCATGGGGTCAGGATCCGAGCAGGTCACACCTGTGTGTGTGGCTGCGTGCATCCTGCATGCGGGGCTGTGTGGACTATGGTGTGCCTGTGCGTCTGCCTGGGGGAGGCGGAGAACGCCGCCGCCCGCGCCCCCCAGCTCCCAGGCACCCGCACACACACGCAGTCCCACCGGGGCACAGGCTGGGCGCCGGCCGGGACCTGCGGTCTTTCATCTCTGGCTGACAGGCCCCTCTCCGGCTCTTAGCCCGGGAGAGCCCCCGCTAACAGTGCATTAGCCCTGGGGGGCTGCCAATTACTCCGCTCCAACGCGGGGCGGGGCGCGGCGTGGCTGATGGGCCCTGACAGGCAGAGGGGACCGGGCGGCAGAGCCCCTCTCCCCGCCGGAGGGGGCGGCGGCGGCTGGGCTGGGGGCTGCGGCGTGTTCCGACTCCGGATGGCTCCGGATGGCAGAACGCAGGTCTCTCCTGACCTCATTAGAGTAATTAATGCGCCTTTTGAAGCTGGAGAAGCGCTGAGCTGTGGGATGGGGTGGGGGTGCGGGGCGCAGATCACAGGGTGGGGGCCGGGGCCGGCGTCCCCGCGCCTGTTGAAAGCTCATCCCAAAGGGTCAAACGTGGAGACAGAGACAGAGACAAAGTGAAGGAGGCAGATGGAGAGACGCAAACGGGGGAGTTTGGAGACAGACACAATGGCCGGGCAGACAGGGGACCCACACACGGCCAGGCCGAGCCACGCTGCCCTCCCCACCTGCAGTCTCTGGGGCCTCCCTTGGGCTCGGACCTCCGTTTGGGGGTTGCTTCCCCAACCTTCCCTGCCGGATTCCCCTAAAGAACAGGCTGCGCGACAAAACCAAACAAACAAAAAAGAACTATTTCAAGGCCAAGTACAAATCTCTAGAAAAAGACAAAAAAATTAGCCGGGCGTGGTGGCGTGCGCCTGTAGTCCCACCTACTCGGGAGGCTGAGGCAGGAGAATTGCTTGAACCTGGGAGGCAGCGGTTGTAGTGATCCGAAATCGCGCCACTGCACTCCAGCCTGGCGCCTGGTGACGGAGTGAGACTCTGTCCCAAAAAAAAAAAAGAACAGGCTGGGGTGAGCAATCAAGGAGGACTTCCTGGAGGCGGCAGCTGAGGCTGGGCAGAGGAGGGCCCAGAGCACTGGAGGGGGAAGGAGAAACGTAAGCAGGGTCTTGGCAAAGCCTAGTCAGATGGAGATGCCCAGGACAGCAGATGGTATGAGAACGAGGGACCCCAGCCTGAGGGGGTGACAGCCTGGCCCCCAAGACAGCCCCTCCCAACCTTGGCGGCAGACAGGGTCAGTTGGCGGGGCTGTGAGACGCGCAAACCTGGGGGACTGCCCAACCCTGGTGGATGTGGGGACGCGGTGGGCTCAGAAGTGGGGTGAGCATTGGGCCGTCCATCAAGGGTTAGGCCCGGGAAGACCGCAAGCGGACTGGGCGGCACAAGGCTGCCACCTGGTGGCGACTCCTCCTCATGACAGGGCAGTGGTGGCTCCAGCCAGATTGCCCAGGGGGAGACCTCGGGCTGTAGGTACCCACACGCCTTGGTCCAAGGCTAACTTCACGGGCGACGGGGTGACAGGCCAGAGGTGGACTCCACCCAGACACGGCCCCCTGCAGGAACAACAAGACACCAGGGAAGCCGACTGAGCACCAAGCCGGGGGTGGGGTCTCAGGCTGGGGGGTCCATAGGAGACTGACCGGGGAGGGGCAGCTGGCGGGAAGGCTAAGGCCGCAGGGAGCCCCAGCCTCCCACAGCACAGCTTGGGGGCTCCCCGGAATCACTGCCAGAAGTATTTGTGAGGTGATGTGGGGTTCCTCCAGAAGGGGGGCCCATGAGACCCAGACTGAAGCTGGCATAGAGGAGGGCCCTGGAGCAGAGGCTTTGACAGATGACTAGGAGTTCTCTCTAGGGGTACAGACAGGGCCTCACCCCAGGCAGCTGGAGACGGGTCCCCCTTCTGTCTACCACATGGGTTCCTCAGGTGGAGGCAAGGCTGGGGAACCCAAGCATGGCTGCAGAGGGGAACTGAGTCTGGCTAGAGTCCCCCCCCAACAACTGGCTGCCCCGGTGTGCACAGGTCTGGGTGGCGTGAGGTCAGCACCAGCAGCAGACATGGCTGTTTATTGTTCCAGCCCAGCAGGAAAGTGTTCCAACACAGGTCCCTTGGGTCACCTGCCCACCCAGCCTTGGCTCAGGGCTGCCATGTCCCCGAGGAGGCAGGGGAGAGGCACAAGTCACAGTCAGGTAAGGTGGCCTCAGAGTCCTGGGCAGTGGTTCTCGGGGCCCCTCCGGTCTTCACCGGGACCCTCAGCCAGGCTGGGGTGGCATCCGGGAGGCGAGGCTGTGCTGTCTGGCGGCGGGTGTGGGCAGCAGCAGGAGGGCGGGCTGCACAGGGTCCAAAAGGACTCTCAAGCTGGCACTGGGTGAGGCTGGCACTGGGTGAGGCCAGCCCGGAGGTCCGCAGAATAAGCAGTGGGGTGGGGGTTGCTGGACACTGGGTGGGCCCTGTCTCCTGTCCTTCCCTCATGGAAAGGTCGCCTCCCTGGCTCAGCATCTGGAATCAGGGGGTGCACGGGTGAGAGGTGAGGAGTGAAGGACCCGCCTGTCGTCGGGCAGAGGCTCACACAGGTCAGACAGCAGTGGGCAGCCTGTCCAGGACCCTCCCCTGGCCTCCTGGGCCCTGCTTAGCTGCCCACCTCGGGGAAGGGGCCCCCAGCCAGGAGGTGGAAGAAACCTGGGAGGGGTTCCCAGGATGGAGTCAGACCTTGGGGAGGGATTACCACGTCTCCCTCCCTGGGGGCTCGGAAAGTCAGAGGCCACCCTGTCCCTTGGTCTCCCAGCCTCCAGGCCCGCCACACGCCAGCAGGCCACGGTCGCCACAAAAACCACATTGTGGCACAAAAGGCCCATCACTCCCTGCCTAGGACCCCGCCAACACCCGACCCCTGCCTCTACACCCACACCTACCCCAGTCCCACCCAACACCTGTGAGGCCTCAGCCTCTGTCCCTCCTGTTCCCTCAGCCCCGTTACACAACAGGGAGAGGCCCTCCCACCCTGCCCGCTCAGAAGCAGCCTGCGGTCAATTCTGCACCTGACTTGGACCCCGTCCATCAGGGAGGGGCCAAGAGCGAGCACCCACTACCCTCAGCCCTGCAGCTGCTTTCCCATCTTAAAGAAGCAAGAAATGAGGCCGGGCGAGGTGGTTCATGCCTGTAGTCGCAGAATTTTGGGAGGCCGAGAAGAGAGGCTCACTTAAGTCCAAGAGTTAGAGACCAACCTGGACAACAGAGCAAGATCCTATCTCTAATTAAAGAAAAAAAAAAACTAGGCGGCTGGGTGCAGTGGCTCATACCTGTAATCCCAGCACTTTGGGAGGCTGAGACGGGTGGATCACCCCAGGTCAGGAGTTCGAGACCAGCCTGGCCAACATGGTGAAAACCTGTCTCTACTAAAAATACAAATATCAGGTGCCTGTAATCCCAGCTACTTGGGAGGCTGAGGCAGGAGAATCTCTTGAAACCTGTGAGGCAGAGGCTACAGTGAATCGGGATCTAGCCACTGCACTCCAGCCTGGGAGACAGAGCAAGACTCCATCTCAAAGATAAATAAATAAACAAAAATTTAAACTTAAAAAAAAAAAAAAAAAGGTGGTGAATGGAGTCTGGGAGAACTGATAAGCCCTGCCCAGGGGGGCCACAGCCTGACTACCGATCGGTCAGCTGTGATCGCGGGAACCACCCCATCACTTGGCGGAGTCCCCGGATCCTCCTGAGTCTCCAGCCCAGCCGGCCCACCAAGGTCCCAGAGCTGGGGAAGGGTTGCACACCATCTCAGATTCCGAGACTCAAAGACCGTCTCCTCATCGCTGTCCAGCGAGGCCGTCTCGGTGGGGTCCTCGGTGTTGGCCAGGAGGCCGTATCGCCTCCTCTGAGGCTTCTTCAACCTGCAAGTAGGTCCAGACACACTCAGTGGGCCCTCCCTGCCAACCCTGCCGTCTCCTTCCCTCAGGACCCGCATCGGCGTCCTCTGCCGAACTCCTCCAGCCCTGCTGCAGAACCCCCTGGTCTTGCTGTGCCTGTTTCTTTCATGTCCTAATCGCCAATGATTACCACTCACTCCCATGGCAGTGACAGTGAGCAGACACGTCCCCAGCAGGCCCTGCTCTCTCTCCTGTGCCAGGGCCCCAAGAGAGGCACCAGGACATCACTCCTGTTGCACTGATGAAAACAGTGTGGCTCCCACAGTGGGGAGACTTTGCCAAAGACAACAAAATGGAAAGTTGTCTCAGCCCCAAGTCCCTGGCGGCCAAAGCAGCCGGGGAGGCAGGGAAGGCCCGGGACATAGGCAGGGGAGAGCAGGCGGCAGATGCTTCCACTGAAAGGGGTGTGGAGCACCGGGGAGGCTCTACACAGGGCCCCTAAAATGCAGCACGGCCAGGCGCAGTGGCTCACATGTATAACGTCAACACTTTGGGAGGCCGAGAAAGGAGGATCGCTTGAGCCCAGGAGTTCGAGACCAGCCTGGACAACATGGCGGGACAACATGGAGAGACACCATCGCTACAAAAAAAGTCATAAAAAATAAAATGCAGCTTGACTATGCCACGGTGGTGATGGGCAAGAGGGGTAAGGTCATCGATGTGTGCTAAAGGCCCAGGAGAAGCAGCCACAATGGGTAGTCAGGAGCCGGGAAGAGATTGGGGCCATAGGCCAGGGAAGCCGGGGTGGCCTGAATAGGTAATAGGCCAGGGGCTGCCTGTAGCTGGTGGCCCCTGCGAGGGTCTGGGGACGCAGCCGCACCTCCCCGGCTGTGGGAGCACCCAAAGCGAGAACACGGCCGACCCTGGCGACGGCTCAGCTCCAGTGGGTAGAAGCACAAAAAAAAAGAATCTCGATACCCGGAAGGGCCCCAGCCGCAGGTGGGAAAAGGAGAGCAAGGATGGGCAGCCGGCGACAAGGAACCAAAAAAGATCCCTCGCCCTGCCAGGGCCTGACCCTTGCTCGGCACGCTCTGGCATTGGTGGCTCCATCTGGAAAACCCACGAATTAAGAGACTGCGGCGCTTGGCAACCAGGAGCCCAGCCACAGGTTAGCGAGCGAGCGAGTCACGTGGACTCTACCCCATCCACACCCACTCCAGCAGGGAGGGAGGGGCCCGCCCCGCACGTGACACAAGAGGCACGCGCTGATTGGCCGCCACTGGGCGACCGCTCTGCGTGCGCCTGACGCACCTGAACTCCCGGATGAGGAAGTAGAGCACGGCAAGGCCGCAGAAGCCCATGATCACGTAGAGGGAGCGCAGCAGCGCCGAGCCCGACGTTCCCGGCGGACGCGCGTGCGTGCTGTTGTGCGGACCGCCGGGCTGGCTCCCGTTCGTCACGGCCGGTGGCGGCGACAGTGTGGCCTCTGCGGGCCGCGGCGGCGAGGCCTCCTCGGCACCGCACGGCACTGCCGCCAGCAGCAGCACCGGCAGAAGCAGCAGCAGAGGCGGCGGCAACACGCTCGGCCCCATGGCCCGGTGGAAGCGGTGGCGGTGCCCCGCCCCTACGCGCGGCTGTCAGTCAGGCACGCTGGGACGATGCCGGCCAATGGGGCGCAGGGGCGGAGCTCGACGCCCGGCCCCGCCCCCTTCCCGCCTCGGCCGGGTGCGCCGGAGCGCTACCCAGACTGCCCCGCACGCCTGCCGCTGAGCCTCATTTTCGCGGACCCCGCCCGTGGGAGCCCCGGCAAGGCGCGGCAGGCAGAACCCACGAGCGCCAGCCCGGCGCGGGGCGCGGCCTCCGAGGAAAGAGGGTTGGCTGGGCGGGCGCCGGTCTCAGGAACTCGGGCCGCTCGTCCCCGCCCCTCCTCCCGGCCTCGCACTCAGGCCGCTCGGCGGTGTTCAGGGCCCAGGAAGGAGGCGCCCGTTTCCGCAGCCGGCTGCAGGTGCCCGGGGCTCCGCCCGAGACGGGGTTCGACAGCACCTGCGCGGCCGCCGCGCCCCAAAGGCCGAGTGCGCCTCAGAACCCCCACCGCCCGGCCGTCGTCTCCACGCTGCGAACCCCCTCTGTGGCCAGCCCCGCGCGGTTCCCTGCCGGGTACGGCTCGTGGCTCGTCCGCTGAACCACAGGCTTTTCTCCCCGCGGTCCCGCTCCGACCCCCGACAGCCCCTCCCTAAACCACAGACTCGTCTTTCTGGGTGCACACGTGGCCCTTTATTCAAATCCGATTTTCACAGGGCTCCACCGTTGTGGGCAAGGTCTGGCCGCCCCGATCGCCGCCAGCACACCGCAGCCGGTCCTCCAGGAGCGATTTGAGGCCCTGGGCCTGCAACCTTTCTGGCTAAGCGCCTCCTGGAACGGGGAGGGAGGGAGAACGGGTGCACGCTCCAGCCGGCGTACTAGGCGCTCTAGGGAGGCGCTGCCCTGCACCCAGGTGCGGGACAGCAGGACTCACTCGAACGACCAGGTGCCGCCCGGGACAGGGCTCAGCCCACATCCCACTGTTCCCGAAAGCACTTACAAGGGACAAACCTCCGGGGCAAGCGGCTGCCTCCAGCTCTTGTTCCAAGTGAAGTCCCTCCTGGGACAGTGACCCCAGAGGTCATCGCTGATCTCAGGCCACCCTTCCCCGAGTCCTGGCCGGGCCCCTTCAACCTGCCAAAGCAAAGCAGTGTTACTCCCGACGTCCTCCACGGGGATCACAGCTGCCCCTCCCAGCCTCCCCGGAAACATCCACAGCTCCTAGGAAGGTCTCAGACTAGTCATGGGGCTGTGACCTCAGGCTCCGTCACGGGCCAGCGTGCCCAGGGCAGGCCTGCACCTTGGGGACGCAGCCAGAGCCAGCTGCCTGCATGGGATGGAGCTGTGTGGGCCAGTGCGGGCTCTGAAAAAAATGAATGGCGGCAACAGACATCAGAGAAAGCTACAGTTAAGAGCGTGACTTAAGAGGTCTGGAAAGAACGGTCAATTGATGAGCAAAAAATCCAAAAGGCAGGGGGCGTTCACTGGTCTCCAATCCTGCTTAAGGGACCTCATCTGAGCCAGGCATGACTGGGCCCAGGCTGTGCTGGTGCACGCGGGGAGTGTAATGGCCGGGCCTGACTTTAGTTCCACCTTAATTTTTTAAAAAAAGGAAAAACAAAAACCAGTCACAGGAACATTCCCCGGGCACATGACTTTCAATGAGCTCTTGACAAGAGGGATGTGGACACGAGCGGAAGGAGTTACCTCGAATTACAGGGCTATTTCCACATATGAGCTAGCCAAGGGAGCAGCTTGCGTCTCAGAGGGTTCTGTTGGGCGCACAACACTTCTGTCCTCCGAGGGCTGCAGCTTCCATAGGCTAGCAGAGAACGCTCAGAACTCGTGAAGCAACGGCAGAACTAGCTAGGTCGCCCTGGGATGCCACGTGCCTCCCTCTCTGGCCTGCTTCTAGACTGAGGCAGTCCAGGCCAGCGTCGGGCGCACGTCCACTGTCCCTGCTAAGCTGCCCGCAGAGTCCAGCCCTCTGGCCACCACTGCCAGAAGCCTCCCGGGGCTGCCCTTTGGCCTTGAGCTACCCGCTCCCATCCCCCGCCTGGCTCCCCTACCCTGACCAGTGCCAGTCTGCTGTGCCTCCCTCATCTAGCTCTCTGCAGGCCCCAAAGAGTGCCTGCAGCCCCGGTGCTCCTCCGCCTTCTCCTCTCTCGCTGCTCAGGTCTGGCTGCAGAAGCCTGCAGCAGGGAGTGTGTTGTGCAATGCAAGGGAATTGTCAGAGCAAAGTTCATTTCACACGGTCTTTTAATCGGCTTCGTAAAGCCAAAGAAAACTGCGTACAAGAATTCCTCAGCCACTGCAAATACAACATCGATGGAGTATGTGTACGTCTTCCAGTAAAAAAAGGACAATATAAATAAACATCTTCAAGAACCTCTCAGACACGTTTGCACGTCTATCATGGGGTGCACAGCACAGATGAGCGCACGGGCCGGGGCTCCAGGGCAGCTGCTGCCAGGCCTGCCAGGGTCCTACCACGCTACACTCAGAGATGTCACACGGAGTTGGAAAAAAGCCACAGCTTGCTCAGCTTCCGACAAAGATCGGATTCACAGTCCGTTCGATCTCAGAGAGGAGTGAATTGGGGCACCCACTTCATGGGGCCAACCCCAGTAAAAAAGAAAAAAAGGCAACGTAACCAAAAAACCAAAAACTAAAAAACCAAAACCCCACACAACCCCCGACAACTTTTTTGGAACTCATGGCTCGTGGTCAAAAGAAAAAAGTAAATCTCAAGTGCTCTTCAAAATGTTTTGAAAACCCTTAAAAACAAACAGCACTTCCTTAAAAAAAAAAGTCTCTAACGAGGCCATCCTGGGGTCAGAAGCGGTCGGGCTGGGTTTGACAAGATCAGAACCGAAATGACTACAAAAGTGGGAATACAGGAGGTGCGTTTACTACACGTTAACGTTCAGCGAAGCTCCCACAATCTTTAAATACACAGCCATTGGAAGGACGGTCTTGAGCAGGAAAGGTTTTTACTCGTTGTGTGTAGCTGAGGACAAGAAGCAGGCACAGTGTAAAGGCACTCAAGCAACGAGAGGCAGCGTCACCCCAGAGGCCAGACCGGCCACGGCCTGCGGCTGGGGAGCAACCACCCCCCACGGCCGAGGGAGGCCGGCGGCCGCACATGCACCTGCGCTGGCTGCCCGGTGGGCCCTCGCTCTCCCTTGCCTTTGGTCAGTCTCAATTGCTCTTGTGTCCTGCAGTAGAAATGGCTCTGAGAGGACAGATGTGTCCCTTATGGGCAAGTGCAGTGACAAGGTCTGAGTGTCCAGCCTAAGTCGCTTGGAGAGGGCGCCAAAGTGAACCGAGCTCCCACCGCAGGCCACAGCAGCGTGGCGCCCTCAGAGTGTGACTTACCGTAACTGTCGTAGCTGTCTCTGTAGGACCCGCCCGAGCTCCGGTCACCATAGCCACTACTCTGACTCCGGCTGAAGGACACACACAAATGAGTGCTGGAGAGTACGTCTACTTCTACTCTGCCACAGCAGGCTGAGCCGCCAGCCCCCAGGCCAGCCGTCCCTTCTGGGGACACGGCAAGGATCCTAGCAGGGCAGTATTGGAAATCCAAAACCCCCACCAGCTGTGCCCTGCAGGCCCTCCAACTTCTGTGACGGTTCTAAGCAGTCCCCTCTCCTCCCGGCCTGGGCCCCCTCCCACTTTCCCTCCTTGCCCAGCCAGCCTTCTCTCAGGCCTCCCAGGGACCTAGGCCTGAAGCTGGCCACCCCACAGCCATCCCTATGCCCAGGCTGACTCCCCCCTCACCCCGCCCCGCAGCCGCCGGTGCCCAGGCTGACTCCCCCCTCGCCTGCTATAGTAGTCTCCGGAGCCTCCGTAGCCCCCACTTCTGGACTCAAACCGGTTCCCCCCATAGCCTCGGTCCCCTCCTCCTGCACATACAGGAAGAAAAAATGAGTACCAGCTCCCCCCAGCAGTGCCTCACAGCATCCCCAAGGGGACCGTTCAAGCACTCACCTCTAGAGAACCCACGGCCCCGTCCTCGGCCCCCGCGGAAGAAGCCCCGGCCCCCGGCAGAGCCGCCACGGTACCCCCGAGATCGGCTGTCTGGCGACTTGCCCGCCTGATCCACTCGGATCTGCCGCCCATCTACAGACTGGAGACCAGAGGGTGGCACAGGTTAGCAGGTGGGTGACCCATCGTCAGGCCGGGCTCCCGCTCAGCACCCTGATGCTCACCTTCCCGTTCATGGCCATCATGGCATCCTTGGCATCATCGATGTTCTCAAAGGTGACAAACCCAAATCCCCGAGATCTCTGGGTCTCCCTGTCTTTCACAACCACCACTGTGCAGGGGAGAGAGGTCTGCAGTCAGCACCCAGCTGTCCCTGCAGGTAGGGAGGAGTACAAGCCAGCCCCCTGGGCTGCCGGCCCAGCACCAGCCTCACCTTCAGAGATCTGTCCATATTTTGAGAAGACCTGCTCCAGCGACTGCTCATTGGTGTCAAAACTCAGCCCTCCAACGAAAAGCTTGCCTTCATCTGATGCCATGGCGGCCTGGGGCAGACACCAATTAAATCCTCAGCAGGGGTCCTCTCTTATCACCTCCTCCCTCTTCCTATTTTACGTAAATGACATATGTTCTTTGCTGGACATATTACAAAATCACTATTCTTATTTTTCATTATCCCCAACCCACACCTAGGACTTTTTTTTTTTTTTTTTTTTTTTTTTTTTGTTGGGGGGTTCTTTTTTTTTTTTTTTTTTTTTGGTGGTGGGGAGTCTAGCTGTCACCTGGCTGCAGTGCAGTGATTTTTGGTGGGGGAGTCTAGCTGTCACCTGGGCTGCAGTGCAGTGATTTTTGGTGGGGGAGTCTAGCTGTCACCTGGGCTGCAGTGCAGTGATTTTTGGTGGGGGAGTCTAGCTGTCACCTGGGCTGCAGTGCAGTGATTTTTGGTGGGGGAGTCTAGCTGTCACCTGGGCTGCAGTGCAGTGATTTTTGGTGGGGGGAGTCTAGCTGTCACCTGGGCTGCAGTGCAGTGGTGCAATCATGGGTCACCGCAGCCTCCACCTCCTCCTGGGCTCAGGCAATCCTCCTACCTCAGCCTACCAAGAAACTGAGACTGCAGGTGTGCACCACCACGATTGGCTAATTTTTTGTTTTTAAATTTATTTTCCTAGAGATGAGATCTCACGATGTTGCCCAGGCTGTCTGAAACGCCTGGGCTCCAGCGATCCTCCCGGCTTGGCCACCCAAAGGTTTGGGATTACAGGCATGAGCCACCACACCCAGCCACCTAGGACTTCTTAATTCAAATTGGTTTACCACACTGAATCCAGTCATTCTCAGCCCCACCCTCCCCCCAGACTGAAAGGCAGGCCGCACCCAGTTCCACAGTCCTCCCCATGGGCAGGACCTCTGGTGTCTCCCTTCCCCAACAGCCTTCCAGTTGTGCCCTGGACAGGACTGCACCCTCAGTTTCTGCCCTTTCGGAACTGGCGCCAACTCCTACCCTAACCAGCTGATGTGCTTCTGTTCACCGTAAAACGCCTCCTGAGACTGGTGGGCTGGCTGTCAGGGAGACCACCCCGTCGTGGGGGACACCTCGGGCCAAGGACTTACTTTTATCAACAGGACCTCAGCCGGGAATGGGGAAGGGATGGCCCCGGAAGTAATGAGGCAGGGTTTCCTGGCAGGATAATTGGCATTTAAGAGAACTGGCTATTTAAGGGGGCGGTCAGTGCTGACACAGACGAAATATTCATTGGCTGGGAATGATCACCACCCAGTGGCTCTGAGAACTACACTTGAAAGTCTGGCACTGGGGGGTGTGACAACTTGGACCAAACTTTGGGGGCAAAGCACGACCTGGCAGACGGGAACCACAATAGAACGGGGCACGCCTAGCCAGAATTTGCGAGGGCGTCCTTTCCCTCATTCAATCACAATGGGAAAGGAAAGAAATTGCGGCTCGGGAAGCAAAAGCGCCGGTGAGTGGACACCTCCAACACCACGGCCGAAAACTGGCCCTGGAGACTGGGCTCGCCACGTGGCCCCGCCCCCGCCGCGTGCGCATGCGCCCCGCGCGCACCCTGCGCCACTCCATCCGGGCACTCGGTGCTCCCGCCATTTCGCTGGGCGCAGCCACGGGCTCGCGGCCGCCATTTTGCGGCAGCAACCCGGTCACCGGCGGCCCGGGCCGGCGGGGAGAGGCCCTCTGGCCACTGCTCGGCCCCATCTCCCGCTGCCCCTCGCCGCCGGCGGGGCGGACTCCACCCCGGGCCCGCCCCGGCACCGCCCCCTCCCAGGGGCGTGCCGCTGCGGCCCCGCCTCGCCTGGCCGCCGCAGGCCGCCCGCCGCCCCGAGCTCCTCTGAGCCGGTGCCGCCAGGGCCCTCACCACTGAGTCGGGCAGGTCCCTGACGCAAGCGGGAAGACGGCACACCACAACGACCTGAGCCTCCTAACGCGCGAGTGAGGGGGGGGCGCCCCGAAGCCCTGCCTTATATAAGGCGCCGCCTGGCCCCGCCCCCTGCACCTCCTGAGCCAATCAGAGGCCGCGGCTGCGCCTTATATTCATAAATGGGGGGGCCTGGTCTATCTCGGCTCCGCCCCCTCCTGCGCGCTGGTGTCGGGCGCGGCGATTGGCCACGTTTCCGGTCCGCAGCCCCCCCGCCGGCGCTCGGGGAGGCGTGGCTGGCGCGCGGCAGGGCGGGGCTGACCCAGTTCCGCGTGCCCGCCCCCTGGCCTGTTGCGGGGAACAAATGGGCCTCTAGCCGGGGTTCCGAGCCTCAGGCCTCGTGGGAACCGCTGGGTGTCACCGGGACCCCGACTTTAACTGTGCTTCTGCTGTCCTGACACATCAACCTATCCAGATCCCCTACACACCCAAGCCCCGGCTCTCAGACATCCCAACTTCATCTGAACCCCGACATCTGTCCTGATATTCTTGCCAATACAACCGACGCCCCGGTTCTCCCAGCAACCACCACTCCATTCCTGCCACCAACCCCATGCCCACCCAAACCCCAACAGAGAGCCCCATTCATGCAAACCCCAATATTCGCAATCCTCACTCTTCCTACTTTGCCACACTTCGGTGCACCCCAACTTTACGAAACCCAGTTTGCCTACAGACTACAACCCGGATCCAAGCCTGACTCCCACCGGAACCGCGACTTCACGGCCAGGTATCGTCCACACCCCCACACTCGCCATGCGGGATAGTGTTGTGCGTCCCTGCTGTCGGGTGCAGGCAGACACCCCGAGTCCCCACTGCACCCCAGCACTCAGCCGGGCCCTCGGTCTCCCCTCCGACCGTGCTGCACACCCACGGTCCACTCTGCTCCCCACGCGGGTCTTTCCCCTACTTCCACAGGCCTCCACTGCTGAGCCTGGTTGGGGCGAGGGAGACTCTCAAAACCTCCGCCATCAGGAGAAGCAGCTCTGCAAGGACCCTCAGTCCCTACTCTTGCCTCAAAGCTTCTGGGGGGCCCCCTGTGGCCCTTGCTCCTCGCCCAGACCTCACCTCATGCTGGCCCCCTCCCCCGGCCCTGGTGGAAATCAAGCTAGTGTGCACCCCTGCCTCTCTGCACTGGAAAGTCTTAGGAGGGCTGACCCTCTGCTGACAAGCTGCGGGGGAGTGAGGGTACAGAGCCCCCAGTTTTGCTGCTCACCCCCACCCTCAACTGAATCGAGGTGATCCAGCAAACAGGAGTAGCCAGAGACACTGTCTGCAGTAACAAGGTCCCTGGGACCCCTCATGGGCTCAAGGACTCCCTCCCCCAGGCAGCAGCTGTGTGACTCATCGCCACCCCCTCTGCACCTCGGCCCCCCACACTACAGCCGCCCCACTCCCCGTCAGCAGCAGTCGGCTGCTGCGTCAGCCACTCACGCAGGGTGGTTATTAAAGGAGCGGAGAGACATCAGCGCTGAGCTCCTCTGCGCCTGCCGTCCGTGCGGGAGGGGCCCCCCACCCACTGGAGCCCCAGATGCGGGCCGGGCGTGCCCAGCCCGGGAGCAATTCAGGCCCATTCTCTCTGATCTGCCCCCAGCCCCAGCAGTCAGGGTGGGACGTTCACTGCCCCAGAGCAGCCCTTTGCGGGGCAGGGGTGGGAGGTGGAGGGGATGCCGTGTCGTCACAGCGGCCCCTGAAGTCTTGCCGCCCCCCGCCCCCCATCATTCCCTGGTTCTGTGAGCCTCTGCCTTTGCCTGGTTTTGTGAACCACCGAGTTCACTCATTCATTCATTGTGCCAGCGCCTAGTTATTAAGCGCTTACTACGAGCCCGTTCCTGGGTGCGGGATCCGTGAGTGCCCGCAGCCGTCCCGGGTTCCCAGGGTGGCGTGGCCGCGCACGTGCGCACACCTGCCGTTCTGCATCTGCCCGGAGCACTGTGAGCCGGGTCTCGGGTGTGGACCCGTGTCCGTACCTGTGCCTCTGGGGTTACCTGCGTCTGCGTGCACCTGTGCCTCCCACGTGTCTCACCGCGACCCTGTGGCCCCATTGGGGGTCCCAGGGGGTGGGACCTCGTCATCCACCCCCGATGGCCGCTGCCCACGCGGGACCGGAGCGACCGGGGCGCGCTGCCCGTTGCGGACACGAGGGGGCGCTGCGGCCTCGCTCCGTCCAGGGCGTTTGGGTCGGGCGCGCGGTGCTGCCCCTCCGCGCAGACGCCCGCGGCGCGGCCTCGCGTGGGAGAGAGGGCTCCACCGCCCAGGCCTGCACCGCCGCTGCGCCCCGTCCTCGCGGGGCCTGTTCTCGCGGGGCGAGGACGCAGCCCGCGTGTCAACCCCGAGCCTCCCGCCGCCCCCGCGCCTCGGCCCCGGCGGAGGGGCTCAAAATAGCCGCGAGGCTGCTATTCCCGGCCAGACGCACGGGGCTCGCCCCACCCCGGCGAGGCGCGGGGGTCAGCCGGAGTCCCAGTACCTGCTCCCCGCGCATCTGTCTTGGGCCGCGTGGGCCCACCCGCTAATCCGCCCCCTTTCCAGATTGCGGTCTCGGAGGGGGCGCGCGCCTCCTGCACCCGGATCCTCCTCCCGGCCCCCGCCCCGGTATGGCGTCGCCATGGAGACGGGGGCGGGGCCGCCTCGCACCGGACCGACCACTCCGCCCTCCCCAGACCCCGACTAATGACCGGGCGGGAGGTGGTAGAGAGCATCTAGGCCTGGGACGGGCGTGGCCGGGGATGAAAGGCGCGTGGGGGCGGGACCCCGGGGCCGCATAATTACCGCCCCCTCCCAGCCACGCGGGGGCCGGGATTGTGCACCTGGCGGCCGCCCCGCGGGGGCGCGGAAATGGGACCGTCCTGGCAGAGGCTGCAGCCGGCCCAGCTGGCCCCAGTCCGCGGGGCCCAGAGCCAGGATAGGGATGCAGAGACCGGGTGTGCGGGTTGCCAGGTGTGGCGCACATGTGTGCCCGTGGGCAGAGGACTCGTGGGTACAGAGACGGAGACACGAGCATTACTAGAGACACAAGCTTGTGTGGACACGAATGTGTGGCTCTGTGCCCAGTACACACAGCGTGGTGTGTGCTGCAGGGACCCTAGGCCGGCCTGCCTGGTGCGAAGGGCAGAAAGGGGCGCGCACGCACTCGGAGGTGTGCGCACGGAGCCCCCGGCACCCGCGCGTGTGCAAGGACACAGGAACCCGTCGGTGAGGCGCTGTGTGTGCACAGGAGGTGGGCGCTTGGACTCCAAAGCGTGCGCTTATCCGGATGTGGATGTGGGTGCAGCGGGGGACAGGGCTGGGTGTGCGTGACTCGGATGTGCCGGGACCCACAGAGCATATGTGTCCATGCTTGGTGCTGTGACTCATGTCCCTGGGGTGGGCACACGTGCTGTGTGTCAGCGGGAGCCGCGCCGCCCAGGGCAGCCCAGAGGAGGAAGGGTTAAACCTGCCTCTCCCCCTAGCTCTTACCTGAGCCCAGGGGTGGGATCTCAGGTCCCTTGGGAGTCCCCCCATGCCTGAGATTCAGGGGCTGCTACACAGGAAAGCCGGACTGAGTTGCACCCCGGCCTCAGTTTCCCTTCTGTTCCTCGGATGTGGTCGCAGGGTGGGACGGCTTCCCTTCCCTATGACTCACCCTCTCTGCACAGGCCTGAGTCACAGCTCAGGAATGTGGAGGTTGGGAGGTCCTGTCTGTTCCTGCCTCAGCCAGGCTATCCCAGCAGCCCAAAGGCCAGACCTGGGCCACAGAGGGACATCCCCGGCACACACATCCGGCAACAGGCCACACACAGGTGTACACTCACACCTCTGCTGCATACCTGCTGGAACGCAGTCACACACCATGCACTTGGCGTCCGGAGATGGCAGCTCCTGCCAGCCACAGGCACACACAGTAGACAGGCTGAGGACAGGACTGACCCAGACCTGTCTTGGAGTCACACACCTGTTTGCTCTTTCGGTACATGGGAAGAGGACAAAAGACACTGCGGATGCAGGTGACCCTTCTGCTGGGGCAAAGACCAGCTGGTACATATGGTGGACCTGCCGTGATGTGCACCCATGCGTGTTGACGATCAGGTGTCTGTGACATGTCCAACTCCCTGTATGGTCCACCAACACTCTAAAGCTGACCAAGAGGCCGGGCATGGTGGCTCACACCTGTAACCCCAGGACTTTGAGAGGCAGAGGCAGATGGATCACAAGGTCAGAAGCTCAAGACCAGCCCGACCGTTCAAGACCAGCCTGACCAACATGGTGAAACCCCATCTTTTTTTTTTTTTTTTTTTTTTTTTTTTTGAGACGGAGTTTCGCTCTTGTTACCCAGGCTGGAGTGCAATGGCGCGATCTCGGCTCACCGCAACCTCCGCCTCCTGGGTTCAGGCAATTCTCCTGCCTCAGCCTCCTGAGTAGCTGGGATTACAGGCACGCGCCACCATGCTCAGCTAATTTTTTGTATTTTTAGTAGAGACGGGGTTTCACCGTGTTGACCAGGATGGTCTCGATCTCTTGACCTTGTGATCCACCCGCCTCGGCCTCCCAAAGTGCTGGGATTACAGGCTTGAGCCACCGCGCCCGGCCGGTGAAACCCCATCTTTAAAAAAAAAAAAAAAAAAAAAAAAGTTGGCCGGGCATGGTAGCTCACGCCTGTAATCCAAGCACTTTGGAGGCCAAGGCGGGCGGATCACCTGAGGTCGGGAGTTCAAGACTAGCCTGACCAACATGGTGAAACCCCGTCTCTACTGAAAGTACAAAAATGAGGCCGGGCCCAGTGGCTCATGCCTGTAATCCCAGCACTTTGGGAGGCTGAGGTGGGTGGATCACTTGAGGTCAGGGGTTTCAGACCAGCCTGACCAACATGGAGAAACCCTATCTCTACTAAAAATACAAAAATTAGCCAGGCATGATGGGTGGTGCCCGTAATCCCAGCTACTCAAGAGGCTGAGGCAGGAGAATCGCTTGAACCCAGGAGGTGGAGATTGCGGTGAGCCAAGACTGAGCCACTGCACTGCACTACAGCTTGGGCGACAGAGCGAGACTGTGTCTCAAAAAAAAAAAGTTGACCAAAGTCTAGGCTTGCCCTCCTGGAGGCTGGGTAAAGGTGGGGTGTCCGGAGCCCCCATCCTGTGCAGCCTCAGATGTTGCTTAGCAAGAGCCCCTGCCCTGGGGTAAGAGGAGGGACCCCCACGGGAGTCCAGGCCTCTCTCATGGGACTACAGGTCCTGTGCCTGACAGGCTGAAGAGCAGGGGTTTCCTTCAAAGACAACCAGGCCCAGAGTGGCCTTGCCTGGGGCTGGAGGTATCTCCGTGGCAACAGTGGGGTGAGACAAGTGGAGAGAGTCCCCTCCTCCCCCAGGCAGCTGCAGGGGCTTGGACCTATGGAGTACGTGTGAAGACACCTATGTCACACGTTGCTGGAGAGGCACCTGGCACCTGTCCACCCCAGCGTGCCTAGAGGGTTCCACATCCAGGCGGACAGGGGCCTAGGGACACCTTTCCAGGCACCCATGGCTGCCCAGCCACAGTCTCTTGAGGGTCAGGGGCCCAGCTGCGAGGCAGGTGGTGTCCAGGACCCACTGTGGGCCTTACTGCTTCATCTGAGAGGTGAGCTTGCCAGCAGCACCTCCTAGGGTCAGAGGCTCATGGGAGGGGGTGCCTGGTAGGAGGCCGGCCGGGGCAGTTGGCAGCAAAAAGACAAGCTCCCCACGGCGCTGGGGCTTGTTCTCTTCCTTGACGTGACAGTCCACGCGGAATCATCCCGTATGTAGGCTGGGGGCTGGCTCATGCCTGTAATCCCAGGGCTTTCGTTTGAGTCCAGGAGTTTGATACCATGCTGGGCAACATAGCTACACCGTGTCGTCACAAAAAGAATAAGCCAAAGTGGCTAGGCGTAGTAGCGCTCACCTGTGGTCCCAGGTCCTCAGCGGGCTGAGCCAGGAGGATTGCCTGAGCCCAGGAATCCCAGCAAGGCTGTAGTGGGCTGTGATCGCGTCACTGTGCTCCAGCCTGGGAAGACAGTGAGAACTTGTCTCTAAAATACTAATTGATGCCAGGCGTGGTGGCTCACACCTGTAATCCCAGCATTTAGGGAGGCCAAGAGAGGCAGATCAACTTAGATCATGAGTTTGAGAACAGCCTGGACAACATGCGGAAACCCTGTCTCTACTAAAATTATAAAAGTAAAGCTGGCCGGGCGTGGTGGCTCACGCCTATAATCCCAGCACTTTGGGAGGCCGAGGCGGGTGGATCATGATGTCAAGAGATCGAGACCATCCTGGCCAACATGGTGAAACCCTGTCTCTACTAAAACTACAAAAAATTAGCTGGGCATGGTGGCACGTGCCTGTAATCCCAGCTACTCGGAAGGCTGAGGCAGGAGAATTGCCTGAACCCAGGAGGCGGAGGTTGCGGTGAGCCGAGATCGCGCCATTGCACTCCAGCCTGGGTAACAAGAGCGAAACACTGTCTCAAAAA